TAAATATGAGGTTCTTCGCACTTATGCCACAAAAAGGTTCCAGACAGTCCAGCTTTAACAGTAAATATTTATTTTACCTCCCAATAGTTAAGCAAGGAAGTCAATATGAATTAATGGGATGGATGAATGACAATCCACTAATTTTCCTTTGACAATTTTAATTGTTTTTCTTTTAGTAAATTCTTAAAAAAACCAATATGGCTTATGCAGTTTGCCAACTGTCAAATGAGGAAGAATCATAACATAAATTTCTCCAATCCTTACTAAAAACTTCATTTGGAAAACCACAAAATGAAAATTCTGTTTTGTTACTATTAAGTAACCATAAATTATTGCAATGGTTGGTCAAGTTGTATAGTGGATTGGCTCAGAGAACAGATGTTTTTCTGAAGGTCAGTATATCTTTTTTCTGGTACTTATTTGTTTTATTTACTTCTGGTGTCAAAAGCTCATATTGGTAGCACTGCATTCTATCAAAGAAATGTCAGCTGTCAATCCAATAATTATATGCAATTTTTTTTTTTTTTTTTTTGTGTGTGTGTGTGTATGTGTGTGAATTTCTGCATTATTCTTTTTGTATTTACTTTGTATGTAATAAAATAGTCATTCTTCACATAAAGTTGCATTAGAATTATGATGGCCATTTCTCTCTAGTTAGATTTTAGGTAAACATTTACATTTGATGCCAAGTGATGCTCTGTAAACCAAAGAAGAAAAAAATCTGCAGCCTTAGATCATGAATGTCTCACTTGACAAACAAACTACCTGAAGCTTTGGATGATGAATAATATAACAATCCACAAACACTCACACTGGCAATACATGATATTCAAAGTTGTTTATGCATAGGTAACCTATGCCCCATCCAGGATTTTTGAAAATATAATTTTAATATTTTCCATTGCTTGGTTTTCACTAACAAAACCTGGCAGCAAGCGACTTACAAGACCATGAATTCAGCTAGAAGAAAATTATGTCCACATGGTGTTGCAGGCAGAGCTGCTGACATTTATTAGATGTTTTGTTATCTATCATGGCAGAGCACAAAAAAAGGAGTGACAGTTCTATATATCCCGTTCTACTGGGCCGATTGACGAAATTCAACTTGCATTCTTCATGTCTCAGAAGCATGACTTAAGGTATTTATTAGATTCATATATAGCATTATTCTAATACAGCCAAAAGTCGTTAATCCGGACTCGTCGGGACTTCGATTCCGGATTATCGATTTTTCCGGATTATAGATCATCAGTTTAAATCTGGTAAGATGGCATGCAGAAATTATAAAATTAAAAATATGAAACCATAATTTATGAAATAAAGAACAATTATGATCTAAAGGGTATCAAAATTTACAAAAAAAAAGCTTAATATTTATTTGTTTACTTTATTAAATATTTCTTTTCAATGTAAGTTGTTAAGTTGCTTCGTTTTTTATGTGATAATACATTCTCTTTAATTCTTTAAACAGACATAATTCTTGTTCAGTTACAAGTTCCGCTGTTCAAGTCTATAATTGCTGTGTCAAGAATACCGACTAATTTGTCAATGGAATTTTTTCGTTTTGAATAACCTCTGTCACTTTCTTCGCCATCGGAAGCGAATTACAATGATGAGGAATTTTTATTTAATCATATCAAAGAGGAGTACATCGAGATGAAATACATTTAATAAGGAATTATAAGCCAAATAAAATAAAAACATCTGCCCTGAAGATAAGGAAGTGCTGACAGATCAACTTCCAATTCATAGCGTGGCGCCGCGGCGTTAAAGATAAACAACGTTAAATTTAGATAAACAAAGGATATGCCTTTATCCATTTTTTTGTAGCAATTCCACTTTTTGTTTAATGAACTTCGAACATACTTTCGCTTTGTACATCATTACATATTAATAAATATATCGAAATCTGTTTGACATAATCGAAAGTCAAGCTTACTTTTATAAAATTGCTCTAACAGTCTGCAAAAAATAATAAGCCGGATCCAATCGAAGATTAGGAACAACGCAATCTGCAACATTAACTGAAATAGATAATTAAATAATTTTAGCTTAGCTTATACCATTCGTTAACATTAAACGCGCATTCGTAAACGTAATTTTGCGCACGCGCACAAGCATATTCCAGCCGTAAAGGCCTTACGCGCATGCTTCAACACGACGCATGCGCAGAAAGTTTGAAGCTTTGAGGTCCGGATTATAGATCATTCTGGATTATGGGTGTCCGAATTAACGACTTTTGACTGTATAGGTATTTTGACACAAAATTGGACTTTTTCTGAAATGACATGCCAATTTTGTTCCATATTTCAATTCTATGATTCAAATTAAACCAAACTGCCAAGTTTTGTAAAAATCGCACAAGTAGTTATCAAAAAATTAGTCCTCAAACTTTTAGCTCCTCATTGTTTATTGAGTTTGGTACATATTTATAAATCTCTCTTTTTTTTTTTATTCAATTTATTTAATTCTTCCTTTTACATTTCAAAATTTAGGTTCATTCCAAATAACATTCACCCATTTTTCATGATTTATTTTTAAAATTTGTATTTTTAAATAATTGTTATAAATTTTTCGAAAAACCTTTTGCATTATAACCATAAAATTTTTACCATCATCTTAAAGTAGATGTATTTCAAAGCATACCTACAAAAAATTCGAATTTTTTACTAAAAATTTCCAAAGATACATGCGTGACTTTATATTTTGGCACATTTTGAAATTTGGCATATTTGTTGAAAGCGATAATAATAATATGAAATGTGGTTTAGGCACTTTGTTAAAATCATTTGAAAGTAAGAACGATGTGACTTTTTCTGGTCACCCACAATGTAAAAAATTAGGAATCATGTTACGTTTTTTCCATTCCTGCACAATGGAAGGGAAAGGAAAATAGGTTGCCATATATTAAGGAGTTCGTCAAGTGAATTATTCTTGACGAAAACTGAAAAAAATATGCAAAAATAAATTTTTGAATTTCTCTGTAAATTTCGCACCAAATTTTACAAAAATTTAATATTTGTCCATAATTTGAATCCTAAAATTGAAATATGGAAAAAAAATTGGCATTTCATTTCAGAAAAAGTCCGATTTTATGTCAAAATACCTATGTCATAATGATGCTATACATAAATCTAATATATATCCCAAGTCGCGCTTTCGAGACATGAAAAAGTGCAATTTGAATTCCGTCAATCAGCCCAGTAGAACGGGAGATATAGAACTGCCCCCTTTTTTTGTTGAGCAGTGTACATCTGGCCAAAACCATTGCCTAGGAAGTTAACAATGGAGGTATGTAAAAGTTATCAGAGAAAGGGGCTCGTTAACAAGAGACCACCTTACACGGTTAAAATGCCCCAAACTCCAGAGGCCATCTGAGAGGGTGCCACTTCCTCGGTCAAACCAGGGAGACTTCAAATACCTCAAATTCTGGGAAATATAAATCTCAATGCTTAAAAATCACAAGCCAATGCACAAAGTCAGACACTGTCCATCCCCAAGTGTTGACCAAGGGAATTCTATTCCCCTTGGACAACCTGCAATATCAGACAATGTAATGTCCCCACAACCAAGAGGCAGACAAGATAGTACCAGTACGGTCCCTGCCAAGCCTGAACCTACCACCGAATAAACAATGGTTCTAATCCTGTGAAGACTGATTACCTACTCCAGCTGCCTAGACATTGGTCTAGCTAGTACACTGAGATCAAACCCTAGGTCTCCTCCCATAAAATGGTCGGTTCAAGAAATTCAGGCTTAGTCGATCCTCAGGGATGGTTACCAGAAGATGATAAAAAAATGAGGTAAACAAAAAAGAACTGCAAAAACTTCATAGAAGCAACAACAAAAGGTGATTAAGGCTGAAATAAAAAAGCATAAGAAAGAAAAATTATCCTAGTTCTCTGATTTACAAAATTTGTGCAAAATAGGATATGATTCAGTCTTCATGTAACAGTATCACTCTGATAAAGCAGAAACAAGAGCTACAGCATAGGCATTTTCAATGACAATGCATGACAATTACTCTCAGTATAAAACTTTTTTAAATGTACGCAACAAATCACACTGGACAGATTTTGAGAGAAACAGAGGTCCAGTGAGTCTTAAGCAAAGACGAGTGGCATTTACAGACAGAAAAAAAAAAGATGTTTTCGAAAGATTGCTAATTACCTGGTGTTTTTTAATGAAGGGAACTTTGAAGCCAAACACTAACATGTTTTTCACCATTTTCTATTTATACTGCCCACTCTCCTTCATGCAAGTACTATAAAATTAAATTTTTATCTATTTTATCTGTTTAATAATGTGTTTTAACTTTTTCATTTTATATTTAACAATTTTCATGCATGTGTTTGGTTATGATTTTTTACATTAATTCCTATGAGAAAAACTGTATTTGTTTACAAACATTTTAGTTGATGAACGGCCTTCACCTTATTATATTTTACCAGATGCAAGAGCAATAAGTAATAACTTTTTATTAAATAAACAACTGCAAACTAATAATTATCAACAGACTCTTGACAACTGTCGTGTAAACTAATAATTACCAAAAGAAAGGGAAGAAAATTATGTCAAAACAATTTTTAAAGTAAGAACTGCCACATAGTGATATTATCTAGACTCATTTTCAGCCCATGATTGGTTTGTTGTTTTGTTACATAGCGAGCCAAAGACTTCTAAGAAAAGATTTAGCAGAAATAAACTGAATAGCAACTTCACATTCAAAGAGATTCATTACATCAACTATGTGTTTTACAATCACAGACATTCTCTTTATACACTAGTGCTATTCACTAACTTGAAAATTTGCTAAGATGTATAATTGCTATGCAATCAATAGTAGTCTTGGCTTTCCTTGCAATGTAATATTTTATATATTTTAAATGAGAAATATGTGCATTCAGATATAAAAAAAATTATTAGATATGGGAATTTACAAACTCCATGCTATTCATCTATTTTAAAAAGTGAAACACATTAAAAAAATATTATCTTACTTAAGAAATCGAAGGTAAGTTCAGCTGTTGCATGTAAATTCCTGGTAGATATTTTCTTCTTCACTTCACTATTTTCTGAAGACACTGGAAAGAGGAGAGGGAAAAAAAAAGCACATATATTTATAGCCTTTGCATAATGCAAGAAATATTACTTTTAGCCTATTTACAAAAATTGTATAACAAAATGCTAAAAGTAGAGTTTTTTAGAGCCATGCTTTACTTCATATTACAATAATATTTATTTTACAACAGTTTCACTGAATTGAAAATCAAAGATTAAAAGATTAAATATATTTTTCCAAAAGAAAATATTATTTCTCTCTTTCACAAAAACACACAGGATTTCCAAATAAATATTACAAGTGCTAAAGCAATAATAATAATTATAATATATACTTAAAAGCAAAAATGAAAGTCATGTAGTTTTTTATGTTTTTAAAAGGTTAAATACTTATTACATTGATCTTCATATATCATTATTTATAAAATAAGCTGTCTTTACTATGAAAAAAATCTAAAGACTACTACACTATGCAAGCAGTTTGGAAGGGAGTGAAAGAAGTGACAATTTGATGGTGCAAGATTAGACATGTATGGCTAGTGGTAGCAGTGCATCCCATCCAGGCTTCAATAATTCTTTATGAGCAATCAAACTTGTGAGTGGCCTAGCATTTTTATGATGGAACATAGGTCTTTCATGATTAAACACAATTAAATTAAACCCTGAGCATTTCTGGATGATGAAGATTAGGTGAGGTTATTTGACTACAGCAATCTGCCTAAGGAGAGGGATGCTGTTGTGGAGAACAACTAAGCGAAACCAGCTCATGCATTATACATAAGAAATACAGCTCATTTGCCTGAACTTGAACACGGGCCAAATTACTAGCCTTCAGTGGTCTTAGCCACTTGGACAAAGGTGAGGCTTTTGGATGAAGGATTCAACTGTTCAGCTTTGTACAGATTTGAAATTAATTCCTTGGTAGCAGCTCAATAAAACATGACACCTTTACATATTCCAACTTCTTTTGGTAACTGTGAATGCTTAAATGATAAATGTTCAATGCTTCTGCATCCTCTCATGTAATGTAACAATATGGCAAATATTCAAATAATGGCTAGATGTCACTCTGAAGAACACATTCATGCCTCGGTATGCATTGTGGACATTTTGAACATTTTACTATATAAACAAGAGCAGATACCAATGCTCATGTTTCCAATAAAGTTTTTTTTCCCTTGCACTGGATATACCATATTTTTCTTTCACATTTATCTCAAAAACTTATGGGTCATACTGGTACAATTCTTTGGCCATTTTTTTATATATTACAAGCAAACATTCTGGATGTGCAGAGTTTGGATGCTCTTGATGGGCAATCCTGTATAGAATGAAAGGTGTCAGGCCACTTTGGGGGGAGGAGCAAAATCAATATCCCCAAAATCTACCTGATTGCTGAATTCATGCATAAATCGAAGGATGGCCATACCTGAATGTTTTCCCTGCCATAATAAAAACCTTACATAATTTTTTTTGTAAGCAAATATTTAATTTGCTGAAGCATCATTTGCAGCTAAAAAGTATTTTTAACACTGCTTCCAAATTCAGATATGATTTAGATAAACTATATTCAGAAATTAACTTTTAAGGATATATATTTGGAGATGCTTTTGTATTTGGAATTAGTGAAAATAGCATGTTTTTAAAACCAGATATTTTTGAATTGAATTTCTGTAGCATTTATATCAGTTGAATATTCAAGTTACACACTGCTGCCTTTAAAATACCTAAATTCAATCAATTTTTCACCAGTTGGAAATTAAAAATTGAAAGATATTGTGCTTAATCAAAATCGTAAAAAAAAAACAACCTTATATTTAGCGTAGTTATAATGAAACACTCAATCGATTTCGAGGGCAGCTAAAGGTCCCTCCTCATCAGGAGAAAGAAATACATAGAAAGAAGAAAATAGGAATCACAGAAACATGTGGTGCTTATCAGCACTGCACGTGGTTATAACTAGATTTTTAATCAGAGTTGCACTGGCCGCCTACTTTTACTGAGCCAGGCTGTCTGATCAAGTATAAAGAAATATTAGCGAAGTTAAAATAGGGAGCGAGGGGCAAATGCACATTATGCTCAAAATCTGAACTTCAAATAATGGAAAGCAACCACTGAACGGATTTTTATACCCTCTGGTAGTACCAAGTGCGAGGAGGTAACGCCATCTATCGGCAAAAATAATTGAATTAAGACAGTAGAATTTTTAAAGGCATTAGGAAGGACTGGATTGGACTTCAAATCATTAACTAAACTTTCTAAATCTTTGTGAATGTGAAAAGCCTCAAGAAAATCCAATTCGCCTATGGAAAGAAGCCTTTTGGATGATTTTTGCAGACCCAAAATCAAAATTATGGTTAAAAGTCCAGCTATGATACGCTATTGAAGACTTGTTAATTTCCCCTTTTTTGACATAAGATTCATGTTCCTTGATACGAAAACTTCAACGCTCTTTTGTTTGGCCAATATATCTTAAACCACACTGACATGATATACTATAAATTCCCCAAGAATTCAAGACAGAAACGCAATCTTTTAGAATCGAAGGGTGAATTTTATTAATAGGGGAGAAACCGACTTGAAAATTGAATTTCTGGAGAATCCGTGCAATTTTATAGCTAACAGAAGGATAAAATGGAAGCACGACAAGGTCATTGATATTATTCTAACAGTGGAATGTCTTCTTTGATGGGAATATGAAAATTTTTTGACGGCTTTATCAATAATCACGGGAGAAAATCCACGGTCAATCGCAACTGCTCTCAAATAATTAAGTTCATTGGTAAGCAAAGATTCAGAGGAACAAACTTTTAGCGCGCGGAAAACATAATAGTAAAAAGAAGCCATTTTTTGCTTAACAGGGTGGCATGACTTGGCATGGGGTGGTAAACAAACTGCAAAGGGTTTACGGTTTCTCCTCTACTTGATAACAATATTCACACTGTAAAAAATTCTGTTGAAGTCATTGATAAACTTAAAAATATTTCCCCACTTCGTTCCATTATGGTTTCATTTGATGTCAAATCATTGTTTACCAATGTTCCGGTCGAAGGAGCACTAAATTGTCTTGAACTAGGCTTCGGGAATTTCACTTCACACATACTGAAATTAATGAGTTGGTTTCGCTTACTAAAGTTTCTCTAAGTCAAACCCACTTTGTTTTCCAAAATGCATATTTTCGTCAAGTTGAAGGATTGGCTATGGGTAATCCTCTCAGTCCGGTACTTGCTGACATTTATATGCACTATTTTGAGATAAAATTATTTGATAAATTATCTTTTCGTCTTTGGATTCGGTATGTTGACGACACTTTCGCACTTTTTGACGGTTATAAAGAGGATTTATCCGAGATTCTATCTATATGAATTCAATTGGTCCAGCCATCTAATTCACTCTTGAAATTGAATCCAACAATTCCCTCCCCTTCCTCGATATTCTTATAATCCGCAATGAAACCGATTTTAGCACCACTGTGTACCGTAAACCCTTTGCAGTTTTGTTTACCACCCCATGCCAAGTCATGCCACCTGTTAAGCAAAAAATGGCTTCTTTTTACTATTATGTTTTCCGCGCGCTAAAAGTTTGTTCCTCTGAATCTTGCTTACCAATGAACTTAATTATTTGAGAGCAGTTGCGATTGACCGTGGATTTTCTCCCGTTGATATTGATAAAGCCGTCAAAAAATTTTCATATTCCCATCAAAGAAGACATTCCACTGTTTAGAAATAATATCAATGACCTTGTCGTGCTTCCATTTTATCCTTCTGTTAGCTATAAAATTGCACGGATTCTCCAGAAATTCAATTTTCAAGTCGGTTTCTCCCCTATTAATAAAATTCACCCTTCGATTCTAAAAGATTGCGTTCTGTCTTGAATTCTTGGGGAATTTATAGTATATCATGTCAGTGTGTGGTTAAGATATATTGGCCAAACAAAAAGAGCGTTGAAGTTTCGTATCAAGGAACATGAATCTTATGTCAAAAAAGGGGAAATTAACAAGTCTTCAATAGCGTATCATAGCTGGACTTTTAACCATAATTTTGATTTTGGGTCTGCAAAAATCATCCAAAAGGCTTCTTCCATAGGCGAATTGGATTTTTCTTGAGGCTTTTCACATTCACAAAGATTTAGAAAGTTTAGTTAATGATTTGAAGTCCAATCCAGTCCTTCCTAATGCCTTTAAAATTCTACTGTCTTAATTCAATATTTTTGCCGATAGATGGCGTTACCTCCTCGCACTTGGTACTACCAGAGGTATAAAAATCCGTTCAGTGTTTGCTTTCCATTATTTGAAGTTCAGATTTGAGCGTAATGTGCATTTGCCCCTCGCTCCCTATTTTAACTTCGCTAATATTTCTTTATACTTGAATCAGACAGCCTGGCTCAGTAAAAGTAGGCGGCCAGTGCAACTCTGATTAAAAATCTAGTTATAACCACGTGCAGTGCTGATAAGCACCACGTGTTTTCTGTGATTCCTATTTTCTTCTTTCATGTATTTCTTTCTCCTGATGAGGAGGGACCTTTAGCTGCCCTCGAAATCGATTGAGTGTTTCATTATAACTACGCTAAATATAAGGTTGTTTTTTTACGATTTTGATTGTCACATTAGCGTGTTTCTCTTCTAGTCTATATTGTGCTTAGTTTTTCGTAGTTCCGTTTTCAGTTGAAAGATGAAAATGTCTAACAGTTCTTTAAATTTGACGCTGAAAAAGTAGTGGTCTGAAGAATTGATTTTCTTTCCAATTGATTCCTGACAATCTGATTTATTACCCTTTCTTTATCATTTACATTCAAATTCAGATATATTTATTTCTAAAGGTAAATTTTACATTTTCCTAAAATACTTTCAGAAATATAAAAGAAAGAATATATCCCTTTCTATTAACCATGCAGCTTTATTTATTTTTTTGTCAATAGCAGTATTAAATTCCACGCAGATGATTCACATGATTTTACTTTAATTGACTTGCTTCAAAAATGCTGTAATTTTCACTCCAGTGCGATGATTCATCTGTTGGTGTTATATCTTTTAATAACTGATATTCTTCAGATCTTTGTAGATCTGATTCTTTAACAGCAGCACTTTTCATACTCATAGTATAGACCTATCACCTTCAAATATAGTTTTAAAATGTGCCAAAGTTATGGTGGACATTCAGAAAGGAAAGAAAAATATAGTGTTTCTTATTTTTCAGAAAAAATTTCAAATTGAATATGGCAACTTCATAGCAATCGCTAAATTTTTTCTACACAAAAATATTTACCTTAGTTTAGAATGAAACAAAATGGTTCCCATTGAAAAAGCTTTTTATTGAAATTATGACTCACTTTGAAATACTCATACTGACTTTGAAAACAACACTATTTAACACATTTAATTTATCAATGAATAACAGGCACATATATCCTTATGCCAAAAATTATTTAGTGTGTTGTTCTATAATAGAAAATATCCTTTACTTTAATAAAAAAAAAGCTATGTTTTCATTATAAAATTTTGCAATACTATGCCACCACAATTCATTTATTAATGCCCCAAAATGCATAGCAACTCTTAATTTACACTAATAATCATGTGTAGATCACAACACTTACAGAAACAGAACATGATTTTCATCTTTCATACATTCTTAAATTTATCCAAACATGTTTCCATCGATGCTTTAAATTCTATTAAATGCAATTAACTTAACAGCTTTTACATTTTCCTTTTCTTCACCTCTTATATTAGATCAGCAAATAATCCCTTTCAATATGATTAAGGAAAACTTGCAACATTTATTTTCAAAGTTATTCCATTAGAAAATTTTACACAATTACAAATAATCAGCACTTAAAAAAAAAAAAAAAAAAAAAAAAAAAAAAAACCTGTTGTCCTGTACAAATTATAGACAAATGGTTTGGTTGCATAGACAAAAGTTTTGGATATTGTCCATGATTAACTTGAATATGAAACTGTTCACTTAGAACATCCTCTGTGAAAGCATCCTTCCTACAGCAGGTAACTGCATATAATTATAATAATTAATTAATAAATGAGCCAGTCCTTAATATTCATACATGTTTTATTATTCAAATTAATTTTTATTCCAAGAAAGGATTATATGAGCTCGAGCAGAACTTTATATGTCAGCTAACTCTAATTTAAATATTGTTAATAGATCATAATATTTTTAGAGGTTATTGTTCTCATCATATTCCTACAACATAAGTACAGTTTTAAGGTTAATAAAGTTTAATGGTGCTCCATACCTTATTATCCCAGTTTCATCAGTTACCTCAGGGGGCTTTAATGTGTTAAATTTAGCAACTGTCATGCTTCTGTGATTAATTTGTATTTGCAGCAATCAACTAGTTTCCCTATCTGATCTGATAGTTTTTCGTGTTTCTCTTTATGCATTTTTAAATTTTTCTGAAAATGAATTTCTTAAACAGAACATTTAAGAATAATCTTAGTGCCAATGTAACATAACTGCATTTTATAAAACATATACTTTATATCAGTTTTAGTTATATTAAAATCAGCCACAAAAATTTTCTTAAAAATTCAAAATTTTAAATTTCCAGCTTTATTTTCTTAATGCTATGTAATTAATTTATTGTTTCATTATGAACAGTAGAACAATTCAGAAAACGGAAATCATGTCATACCTTACATGCATTCATTTTCGGCCTTTATAAAGAATGAGGAAGACTAATATGGCAAATTTGCTTAATCCATTCAATAATATGTGTAATTGTTTCAGAAATAACTATGAGTAAAATCAACTGCACAATTCCGACATGGATTAAATATGGACACAAAATAAAACTTCAAGCCATGTATCTCATTCAATGCCACATTTTATATAAAAACATTAACATAAAACACTAATAACATGATATATTTCAGTGTCAATCATTATTTTTTAGACTTCTAATGTCATTCGAGTAGATCGTTATGCTTCAAGCCTGCTACAGGAAACTCTACACAGTTACATTATTATCCATTTTCCATCGAGGTACTTACATGATTTGTGATTGTGAAAGCTTGTTATGGTGGCAACAATTATACTTCAAGTTTAAAAGCATATGAAAAAGGATTACTAAGGTCAGCAACATGGTGCATTCTATAAAATTTTAGTCTGTGAAGCTCAATACATCAGTGTAAAAGCATAAATTAATGTCAATTTGTTAGTTTCAACAATAAATTTTAATGTTAGAAAGCAGTGTACACGGTACCATGAAAACTCAGCACTATTGTTGAGAATAAATTAATGTTATTAATTCTTTTACTGAATGATTTACAGCACAAAATTCTTTGATACTTCTTCACGTATTCCAAAGCTAATAATCATAATTTCTTTATAAAAATGAATTTAAAATTTCTATAGCTAATTTAGCACTCCTTCTAGTTATTCACTTGATGCAAGTGCCTCACTTACCTCACCCTTGTCCTAGCTCTAGAATCTGCTATAATTAAAGAAACAAAGTTTAATATGCAAAATTATTTTATATATCTTGGAATTATATTTGTTAACTTCTAAAACTGACTCAGAAATCATATATCATCCATAACCAAACAAAACATTATTTCTCAAAACTGACAACTTTTGGAAGAAAAGTCCACATATTAAGTAAACAGAGCCAATTATATACGCTGCTGAGCATTTTAAATAAGATATTTAAAAACAAATTTTCTTAATTTTTTAAACTCACATGCAGGCTGAGCAGATTTCTTATCAATTTCTTGTTTTGGAAGATTATCTTCAATTCCTTTTGATGACTTATCATTACCTGTAAAAAGAAGTTAAACAAATGATTCATACATACCATACATTTCTGTGTATAGCCCAGAACTTTTGGAAAACTTTTTCTGAATTTAAATTAAGAAAGTCAGCTTATACAGTACAAAATTTGATCCGGACTCTTCTGGATTTGGGTTTTCCCAGATATCAGTTCATTAGTTTAAACCTAGTATGATGTCACATAGAAATTATAAAATTAAAAATATGAAATCACAATTTATGAAATAATGAAGCACTTATGATCTAAAGGATATCAAAATTCAGGAAAAAAAAAGCTTAATATTTGTTGGTTTACTTTATTAAACATTTCTATCAATGTAAGTTGTCTATGTTACTTCGTTTTTTGTGCTAATACTTTCTCTTTAATTTACAAATTTTCTTAAATTTTTTTAAAATTTAATTTTAAAAAACAAAATTTCTTAATTTTTTAAACTTACATCCAGCCTGAGCAGATTTCTTATCAATTTCTTGTTTTGGAAGATTATCTTCAATTCCTTTTGATGACTTATCATTACCTGTAAAAAGAAGTTAAACAAATGATTCATATGTACCATACTTTTCTGTGTATAGCCCAGAATTTTTGGAAAACTTTTTCTGAAGTTAAACTAAGAAAGTCAGCTTACACAGTACAAAATTTGATCCGGACTCTTCTGGATTTGGGTTTTTCCGGATATCAGATCATTAGTTTAAATAACCGAACAGTCCACCTTTCCGTTTAAACCTAGTATAATATCACGTAGAAATTATAAAATTAAAAATATTAAATCGCAGTTTATGAAATAATGAAGCGCTTATGATCTAAAGGGTATCAAAATTCAGAAAAAAAAAAGCGTAATATTTGTTTACTTTATTAAACATTTCTTTCAATGTAAGTTGTCTATGTTGCTTCGTTTTTTGAGCTAATACTTTCTCTTTAATTCTACAGGCAGACATAATTTCTTGTTCAAGTCCTGTAATTGCTGTGTCGAGAATTCCGACTAACTTGTCAATCAAAATTTTTCTATTTTCAATAACCTCTCTGTCACTTTCTTCACTATCAGTAGCAGTATTTTCTAGATCTAGAAACATACTACAGATTTTGCTGTCCTTTAATTAATTGATAATTGCAGTATTGTCATCGCAAAGAAAAACTTTTGTTATATCATCTTCATTTAATACCACTTCTCCAAATTTCTTTACAAAATCCATTAATTGGAAAATTCCATCTTTGGTTTGCGGTATCCGAAAACCTTTATTCCCGGCTATCATCTTCATCATCCTCATCATGAAATATGGTAGCTGGCCATAAAATTATGCCAAGCATTTTTTAAAGTATCTGGAGACACATCCTTCTAAGACTTGTGATGCTCCAATCACAACTCCAATGCTTGTGATCTTATGCTAAAATATTTCAAAAATTCATGAATAGTTTTGCCATTATTCAAGAAATTTAACATTTGTTTTAAATTGCTACTTTACATTTGCATTTCAGTGTGCACACTATTCCGATATAAATAGGCTAAATGATAGATGTACAATTTGGAGGAAAAAATAATACAGATACATTACCATTCACTAAAACTTTAAGTGAAGTATCAGCCAAACAGTTGTCTACAATCAGGACAATTTTTGTGTCATCAGGTAAACCAACCGAATTCAAATATTGCCGAGGCTCGGGTATGAACTGATTTTCAAACCAATCATTTATTAACGCAAGTGTCATCCATGCTCTTTTATTTTCATGATACACAATGGGAAAATTTTTACTCCTTTAAATGTTCAAAGTCACTTTTTTTCCCATTCACGGGATTCAAACCTTGGACTGAACTACCACTGTTCAACTACTTTACCGCTCAGCTGCAGTTTCATTAGAAGGGGGGGGGAAAAACGTCTTTAGGTGACATTCACATACATCACTGGATAAACTCCTGAATCTTCAAATAATTCGACTGAGGAATCATGGGATTCTCCGTTTATGATACGATATGATGTTCTATAACGTAATTTAAATTTAGACAACCATATAGTCTAAAACCAGTTACTCTTCACTTTAATCTGCAATTATATCGTTTTTGTCTTTCCTGTTAACACATGCTCAATTGATGGTATTTGCTGGTGTACACGTCCAAGTGTTTTCTCTTTGAACACTAAATTCTTTGATGTATCCTGAAAGTACATAGAAAAGCGTCCAACTTTTTTAAACATCTTGGTATCACCAGCCAAATTTCCCTGAAAATTTTTGTTTACTTTTCTCCCTAATTTTCTTCTTTCCTTCCACAGTTATTTTCAGTGTTCACACAAAAAAAGTAAGATTTTCGATTGCTAGACTTCCATAAATTTTGCATTCTTGTCAATTTTTTAAAATATCAATTACATGAATTGCGTTTTAGCTGAAAACAGCTTTTCATTTTTTGGTCATTTTAACTATAAATCAAGTTTAAAGTGAAGTGCAAAGGATAAATATTTTAATTAAAAGATTTTTTGCTAAATGATAAAGAAATAAAACAGTCCAGCAATGTTTATTCTGTACCACCGAGTGACCCGATTCTTATATCGGCTGAAACAATCTAAATCATATTAAAGATCATGTTTTTTTTTATACAATCTACAATGCGAAAGAAAAATTAGCATCTTAAAACATTCTTTCTAAGAGAATTAATATAAAAATTTATATTTATATTTATATTTTTAAAGCTGGGACTTGAACCAAACTGTCAAACTTTTAAAGTTTAATTTACATGGTGGTTATAATTAAAGTTCCACTTTGAAATGGTCATAAAAGGAAAACTACCGGACCAAATGTTATCAAACTTGGGAATCGTGTAAATGGAGGTCAAGGAAATTTATTTTGCCGCAAAAAAAAAAAAAAAAAAAGAGTTTAAAAACTCACCACCAGGGGGAAAATGGCGCTGTGTGTAATATTGTTAAACGAAATACGACATGAAGAGCATCGCTTTAAATGAGTTTAATCGTTCCGAAAGCGTGTTACAAAGCATGTTTAATATAGCGTCCAGCATTTTCTGAAAGCAAGTTAAATCCTGTTACTGCATTCTCAACAGAAGCTCTTAGCATATCAGGAGGAATATTGCGGACATGTCGGTTGTATCTCATTTCTCAATTCCTGCCAAATTGTTTAGATTATCACCATAAACAGTGCTTTTGAGATAACCCATAGCCAAAAGTCACAGAGGTTGAGGTCTGGTGACCGGGGAGCAAGAAATAGGGAAAAGTGTTCGGCCTTCCTATATTAGATCCGTTCATTCGTGAATGTTGACTAAGTAACTGTGCGACACATGTGAGGCGGGGCCCAGCCCTTGCATAAAAATCGTAGTATCTAAAATGCCACCGTTACTTGCAGTTCGTGTATCACGAAACATTTAACATTGACTCTAAGCGAGCTGCAATCACAGTGGGTCCTAGCTGTCGATTGCTCTTTCAGAGAAAAATGATTCATTTCAGTTATGAAACTAACTGTCATTCCCCACCAAACGGTGTGGAATGACTGCTATGCAATCGAATGCAATAGAAGAATGCAATGAAACTAGGTAGATAACATGAAGGATTGCTTTGGCCCAAATCGATTAAAAGCGTTTTGAATCAGTATCTTCATGTTTTGGGGCCAAATTCAGGCTTCAAAAATTATAAATTAGCAATCTGTAAGAAAACGATCTCCAGATTGTATGCACTTGTGCGAGTGATTTGCGATCTCACATTTTCTAATTGCTAATTCATTGTTTTCACGGACGAATTTCTCCCTTACACGGATGGCGCACTCGACTTTTATTGAATTTAAACGCCTTTAAATGGTAATTTGCTTACTTCAAAGTTTCTTTAAGGGATATACAACATATTAAAACCTGTGTAACAAAAGGTTAAGTTAGGTTTCCGACCCATATTTCATTTAACAATATTACATACAGCGCCATTTCCTCCCCTGGTGGATGAGGTTTCGAATTTTTTTTTTCACGGAAAATAAATTCCCATGGCCTCCTTTACACGGTTACCAAGTTTGATAACATTTGATCCAGTAGTTTTCCTTTTATGACTGTTTCAAAGTGGAACTTTAATTATAACCACCCTGTATATTATTAAATTTTAATTTGAAGCTATGCATTATATGTATACCATATGTAAGATTTTTGCTTTTATGGAAAAAATAAAGAATCGAAGCAAATATACTTAGGATAATGGACTAAAACTGAAAAAATTTCCCCTCCCTCCGAAAATAAAACATTGAAACTTCGACCCTGAATTTATTGGATTATCAAAATATTCAATTTGACTTAGCTTCTAAGTCATTCCGACAACAATTCCAAATTACTGAAGCTGAAGTAAAAGGTTTAGTATATATTCACTGTATGTTAATAAAGTAATCAGAGTGTAATAAAAATCAATTATAGAATTTACGCCGATGCAACTTTTTGTCTGAATGCACAACATGTAATGGAAAAGAAGGCTTGTAGAGATTTTTTTTGACATGCTTCTAAAAGTAGATGTCATACTTCTTTTGTCTCTTCAATGTCAAAAAACTTTCCTTTGAGAGGCAACTTTAGTTTTTGGAAAAGAAAAAAAAAAAAAAAAAAAAAAAAAAAAAAAAAAAAAAATCACAAGAAGACAAATTTGAAGAACATGCAGGATGATTGAGTACACATACTTATTTTTGGAACACAAGCGGTTCTTCGATTGGTTATTGAATAATGAAAAGATGCATTGTCATGCAATACAAAACATTTGGAATACATTTCCTGACTGAATAACGTAAGATAAAAAGTCATCTGCTTAATTCACAGCCATTTACAAGTCAACTACTCAGGCAATTGCAGAATCGTTTTGATCCTTAGCTTGTAAGACAAACCTAATATCACTGGATTTAAACACTTCTTTAATCTTCTGAGAACATTCCTTCTTTAGCTCAAATTCCAAGAACATTAAGTGAATACAATTATTGCAAAAGAAATTAAATATTCATTTGCACTACAGCTTGGTACTTTACTAACGAGTTAACAAAACTTAAATTCTGCTTTTTGTGTCTAAGAATACAACAATATTTTAAATATTTACAAATAAATTGAAGCCTCACCAGTTGCCTAGCATTTGAAGATTGTTAAATACTAATTGCTTGTTGCGAAGTCTAACCCAGGCTGCATAGTTGGTTTTCGTAGTTTTCTAGGTTCTCTTTACAAAGGTTCTCTATGAAAGCATCTTAATCAAATAGCTCTCATGTTCTTTCTCTGTTCAAATAACAAACTAACCTAGTTTAAGCGCGATTTCCAAGTGAAGTCACTAGCAAAACCCGAATACTCATTAAAAATCATATAGTTGCCAATCGGGAGTAACATGAAAGATACGGCGCCAATAATTGAATTGCTGTTACAGTACGCTGTTTCTAAACTTAGATGGGCATTCCTTAATTAAATACAATTGATTTGTAACTTCTATTACAGCTGATGGAAAGAATTGAAGTACAAATAAATAATATCATGTGCAATCTTGATTAATATAAAATTAGAAATATTTGCATTAAGACAGAATGTTT